GCCTCTGAATTTTATTACATACCTCCTTAGTCCAACAGACCTAACAGTTTTCTTGGACCTGGAAATAATGGCAAAACGCCCATCAGTTAATCGCCTCACTCACTACTGTGTATAAGTAATTCAAAATTGATATAGCTACAAGGAATATCTCTACTCAACAATAATTATTAAACTATATATTTACGTTGCAGCCAATATCTACAATATTTACTTAGTGGGAATTATCGATGTGTGGTGGTAAGATGAGTGGGGTGTACACATTTTCTCTTGTATCTACGGCAATGTAGATCTACGGCAAGGGAACTAAGGTCAAAAGAAATTGAAAGAACACGTACACTAGATTAATAAAATCATTTTTTTCTTGTCTGTTTACTTTTCCTATGAATAATGACGGGTTACTTGAAATTAATTAAACATGATAGAAGAACAAGTAATTTAAGTAAATCCACGTCAAATCACATTCTATTTCTAACCCGTAGCTTAGTATGTCTCGCCTGTCAAATGCCCCTCCCTATATTTTCAGAGCAGCCGGGAAAGGCTGCAACCAAGCTCAGGCACGCAAGTTGGAGGCTGGATTAACAATATATGAGGTATTACATTTGGCACATACAAGCGTGCGTTGCCAACCGTGTGAGATACTTCAGTATATTTATTTTGTCTCAACACAGCATGTACATAGATATTTATTTTTGATAAAGTATACATGCAAAAAGACATGAAAAAGAGTCACTCAAATATATTCGCTGCTTGTCTTATCAGTATTCAAGACCAAAACATGAATTTTAGTACTTCCTTACATTTTCCGTAAAAATTCGTAGGGCAATCAAAATCCTTATGATTGATTAGTGATACCGGGCGCGTCAGCTACTAAGATAATTAGGACCATGAGTGTAGTGTATGTTTCCAACGCCGGAGGTGGCGGTGATCTTCCCCGCTGGATGGCGAGATTCAGCGCCGACTTGCGACGTCGGCTTGCGGGGATACTGCCCAACCAGCTATCTCTCACCAGCGAGGCACCGCTCCAGCCGGGTCAAGCTCTAAGCGCCAGACTGGTCTCCCCACAAATGTAATAGTGTAATCTGTGTGAGTATAAGTGTAAGTAAGTGGTGAGGATAGATCAAGAAAACGGACAGAAAGATCATGGCCCGTGGCCCATTTGTTACGGTGCTGCTTCGTCATTCGCGTGGTGTTGACCAAAATAACACGTAAAACTACCGACTAGAGCAGAGGTTCGCTAGAATACACCTCCAGATAGCGACTGGATTCGAACTAGCTGTCTAGCTAGCGTCAAATCTTGCCATCGTCGGGACTCGAACTCAGAGTCTCTCGGTTAGAGGAACTATAGTAACACATTTTTTGCTTAAGAAGCCCGTTTTTCTACTAAAAAAACAGTAGACCTGGGTGAAATGGCTGACTAGGGTCTGACGGGGTTTGCCGATACCCATAGACAAACACCATTAAAAACCAGTAACATTCTCCTGTAATGGGGATACCCGATTTAAATCGCCGTCGGCAAGCCCTACACTCTCTTCGAAGTGGCGTACCATCTGATGTGAGATATCAGAGAGTAACTAATTAAAGTAACACGAGGGCGAGTCTCCGGCACCTTAAAACGCTTAAAACACAAATGAACCTGCTGCTTTGCAGGGAGGGAAGGGATCCTCAGGCCAGGGTCGCCAGATGCTTCGTACGAACATCCGCCGTTAGATGGCAGTAAATCAGCCCTATTGCGCCCAATAAGAAAAATTCAACTCTTCAAGTGGGAAATTACAATATGCTTTGAAATACGTTTTTTGAGGTAGTGACCCTATAATATGCTTGATTTGCATTTTTTGTTTGTGAAGATTGTAATTAATAGGGAGAATATTTTTATGCCCTAAAAGGCTTGAAATATGTCTCTAAAATATTCATTTATAACCTAAAAATTCTAAAATATGCACTTTAATATAAATTAAAATTAATAATATTTCATTTCCTGCATAAATCTTTCTTGATAAAATTCAAGAGCAGCGTGCATGGAGTGAAAGGATATGGTTTTGCAAACATAATATAATTTACCTTACTTAGTAGAGGAAATAATTAAAGTAAATATTCATGTTAATGAAATACATTTCATGTCTTGATACATTTTTTGGTTGCATTTCCCGGATTAAAGAAAATTGATATCGAGAAATTTCCTATATTTGTGCTAGTATTTTATCATCAGCAGAAAAAAAACGTTAATTGTGACAACGATTTTTCTAACCGATGAACGCTCACAAATAAATAGTTGGTATGGAAAGTTGAAACCTTTTAGGTATAAGTCTACTTTAAAGAAATATGCAAAATATGGCCTATGATTACACGTATATGCACATACAGGAAAGATCGACCAAATATGCACTAACATATTATCTATATAGCATTCAATTCTAACCAAATGTCAGGAAATGTCACTTAGCTATGCCCTGAAGCAATGGACAAAACTATAAAAATAATAGAAATCTCCTCCCTAATAATAAATAATTTATGTAAAAACATATACTTCTTTATAATAAGTTATATCTGACTATTTAAAAATTAGTTACGACTACAGCAGATGGGAGGAATACTTTAAGGGCAAAAATAAATTCCCCCGCATCTCCATTTTCACTCTCTTTGCTCCTCTTAAATATCCGCGCTTAAAAATATGACCACAGACATGCTTTAACATGCCTGCTTATTTCCTATGGCTTAATGGATAACGCTGGCAGTGACACCGTACTTCCAAAACACTAATTGTAAATGGCATGTTCTAAAATTAACTCCAAGTACTGCCAATGTGATATATCATGTTGTACACGACAAAGACGCTATCACGTTTAGAACACACCCTAGACTAGAGGTCTAAAATCTAAAATTATTCACTTCTCAAAGTAAATTTGAACGCATTAACAAATGATTATTGAAAAATCATGTATAAAGTAAAAAACTAAAAAATCAAATTCACTGTCAATGTCATTGTAGTTGTTTTATGAAATTTTCTCGTAATGTGAAAACCCGCCAAAAACCGCACATGTTTTGATACATTTGCGCCCATTGGGCGATATTCCGCGAAATCAATTTTTACCCTGTTAGAGAGAGTCGTTTTCCAGCCCAAAAGGCGAATTTCCACCCAATCTGGCAACTGCCCCAAAGTTTAAGGAAAGGAAATCCCTGTCAGAAAACCAAAGGGTAAAACGGACCCCATAGTCTTTGTGACAGCTCTCCTACAGCAGTAAACCTTAGAGAAATGCCTGTCTTCCAGGAAGCAGTGGTTTGGGATCAGAACAGCAACCTGCTCTCTATAAAAAATATACACTGCTTTCAAAGCTCAGTCTAGGAAAAAGTAGGACGCGTATGTGTGTCGAAACAGGCATGTTATGAACAAGAGAGAATATCTGATATTGAGTTCATGAAATGCTGCAGGCGGTGAAAACGCAAGAGATTGTTGATAAATTAAAAAATATCAAAATAAAGATAAGCGCATTACCAGAAATACTTTGGCAGGGTTCTGGTAAAATAAGTAGCAAAGAATACACATAATAGAATAGTGGTACTGAAAAGAAATTGGGACATATGGGAACTGGTTTTCTAGATATGAAGGAATTGGAGAAAAGCATTTTAGGTTTTGAAGAAGTGAATGAAATAATGTGCAGGTTAAGAATGAAAGAAAAGTTCTACAGTGTAAGTATAATTAATGTTTACGCGCACACTGAGGAAAAGGAAGAAGAGGAAGTGAAGGAAATGATTTTTGAAGTACGTTAGTTAATCAGATAGCAAAACATGATATTTTATTTGCGATGGGTGATTGTAATGTACAAGTAGAAAAGAATTGGGATTTAGAGAGGTTCTCACACTTTACAACAGGAATCAAACAACAATGGTGATCTTTTGACTAAATTTTCTATTATGAATAGACTGATAATTTCAAGCTAGGAATTCCAACATGATACATCCACAAAGGAACATGGGTCTCTCCGAACAACTTAACTATCAATCAAATTGATTTTGTCTTGGTAAACGTTAATAAACGAAAGACAATAGAAGTTTTGAGATCTCTTAGAGGTCAAATTGTGATGCTGATCATTTTCTTATTAAAAGAATAGAGAAAGAAAAGTTAATGTGTATCATTCGGAAGATACATGTACTAAAAATATGGAATCGCATCAATTTATTAAATGAGAATAAAATAGGAAAGTATAGAACAAACAGTTTAGAGAAGATTAACGTCAAACAGGAAGAACAAGATGAAGATCAATAATGGGAAAACAAAACCGTACATATTAGAAACGACAACTGAAACACAACTGAAAAAGAAAGAAAAATGAATGGTGGGATGAGAAATATAGGAAATCACTACAAGAGAAAAATAAGATGTGAATGAAATGAAGGCATCAAACACGAAAATTTTATAAAGATGTAAAGAAGTACATCAAGCAACCAGAAAAACCAATGTTAGCCTGTAAAAACAGTACCGGAAATTTGTTAACTGAGAAGGAAGGATTACTCAAATGTTGGGCAGCATATTTTTCTGAACTGCTAATTTTTGCACCTCGAATAGCACTATGAAATGAGAATATTGTCTTACAAAAGAATGATAAGAATATCGATCCCCCAACCAGCAGTGTAATTAACAGAGTAATATTAAAACTGTTAACCATAAGTCACATAGCCCATATAATATGTCCGACAGCCCGACAGTCCGACAGCCCGACAGCCCGACAGCCCGACAACCCGACTGCCCGACAGCCCGACAGCCCGACAGCCCGACAGCCCGACAGCCCGACAGTCCGACAGTCCGACAGTCCGACAGTCCGTCAATCGGAGATTGGAAATGCCAGACTAGGTATCTATACACAAAGGTATGCTAATAGCACGTTGAGTTTTACATACGGCGAAATTAGTACTGTATAACAACCATTGTATGAAAACTACGAATTTGTACTTAACTATGACCACGACTTTGTCTTTAATACTTAAGCGAGCGAATGAAGCATTTTTCAAGGTACGTAAACCTCACTACTACATCTTCGGATTTCTCCAGGGATACCTGAAGCGTTGAAGTCCAGAAGCTGGTCGCCGTCAGCTTGAAGCGCCTCGGCCAAACCCTCGTCATCCACATGCAGCCGGCCCATCGCCGCCGATCCGCCGCTCGGCATCTTGGGGTCCCACAGGAACACGTAGTACAGCGACAGCATGATGGCCGCCAGCGACACGGAGAGCACGTACGCCAGCACGGTCAGCACCCGAATCACCTGCGCAAACACTTCGCGGGTAGTATGCTTCACGAACAGCACACACTTTTAAAATGGACGACTGACAAAGTGAAAGGAGGATCATGCTAGAGCCAAACTCACAATATTTCTGACAAATAGTATTACGGAGTAGAAATATCCTCCAAAATCTGATTAAACGTCCATGGAGGTATCATTCTGTAGATAATGGCATGGAAAAGCAACTCCTGTGATTTTGAGACACAAAACCTGGCTTGAAGAGCCTACGAAGCTTTGATTATTTCATGTTTCTTGGAGGTTTCGTTAGTGTAGTGCGTATTTTCTGTCATGGAAGGAGGCGGAATTTTTCCTCTGCTAGATGGTCAGATCAGTCACCGAAATACACGTCGGTGTACTGAGTTAGCCCATCCAGGTATCGCCCCACCAACGGGGAACCGCCCCAGCCAAGACATGATCTAGACTGGTTTCCCAATATGCGTTGCTACAGTAGTGTACGTAAATGCGCGTGTAAGGAGTTACGATAGGACAAAGAAAATGAAGAAAATATGTTTGTTAGGGTACTCTTGCATTCGCCTGATTTTCATCGGAGAAACCACGTAAAACTACCGAACAGAGCAGCAAACCGCCAGAATTCTCTTCCAGACAGGGCTGGACTTGACCTAACTGTTCGTACAAGTTAAAGCTTTAGTTTTAAGAAACATTAAATACATTACGATTCGTAAATCTAGGCACATGTTGCAAGGACATGCTGTTACATGACGCAAGGTTGGCATTCCATACCATTTTATTCAAATCACAATGTATTTATTCAGTCTGTAACACGTTGCTTGAAAGTTCAAATTTTGTTCGTTCACGTTGAAACGTTAAAAATCACGTTATTGGTTAGTGCGGGCAGTCTGCGCCAAAACCCGACGCCTCCACCGTTTTACGGCCAACAGTATTCTGCCCCTGACAGGTATCAGCTGTTGACGGTTTCATCCAATCGGGATCTTGAACGTCACAAGTGACGTCACTATGTTCAAGATCCCGATTGGATAAAACTATCAACAGCTGATACCTGCCGGGGCAGAGTTGCGCAGTATAGTAGAGAGGAACTCTGTCCCGGCAAGTCGTGCTTGGGGCCTCACTCCGAACCGTTTGTTACGAGTTCGCCCTATTGGCTTCTTGACGTTACGCCAGATAACGCGAACTACTTCAATCAAACTTGTGTACTTCAGTTTTATAGTGTGATTCAGTGATTTCGTCTCTATACGACTCACATGTACTGTTTGCTCTATGCGAGTATTCACAAACTTATTACAATGTGAAGTCATCAAAGTTCGGCCACGTACTAATTCTGAACAACTGTATATTATAAACTGTATTTTATAACACGTATATTATTTCAAACGGTGCATTATTATTTTAAATGTTTCAATTGACTGCAACGACTTAAACAGTTCACTGCCCTACATAATTATCTGTTATGCACGTGCTTCCAATCGCACAATATAAGAATCAGTTAAGCGAGTACATCATTTCAACTTGTGACAGTGTTTTGTGCCCAAATATCACATTCAGTGCGCAGTGTGCAGCTTGAACGGCTGGCAGTGCGCGCGCGCGCGCGCGCGTGTGTGTGTGTGTGTGTTTGTGTGCTGGCAGTCATGTGTGGTGGATAGTTACAATGCCAACCATAAACGCCAACGGTCAGCCATGAATTCTTGAATGTCTGTTTCAATGTTATCATTTTCTTTGTAGCCCGCGCGAGGGTAACACGGCCGCTATTTCCACTAGCGCCGGCAATGACATATAGTATCAATACCTAGCACATGTGATCCATGCAACCTGCAATAAGGTCGCTCCTGACGTTATCATGCTTCATCAGAATTCACGTAATATGTTTTAACGCAATTCTAATTCTATGTACCTATCATAACAGATTACAATTTCTCACAGTGTAATCACTATCATTATTTTATATTAAAAGAGAACAATTTATTAATATATTGAATTGCTAATTCCCTATTAATGTTAACGTATCTACAGTATATTCACTACATTCTTTTCTTTTGTGAGAGACAATTCATTGACCACATGTCTGTAACTCTTAATTAATGTTTAATTACATGTCTTCAATTTATCATGCACTTTTTGATTTCCCTGTTAATGGCAACACCTTCTGTAATTACCCAATTTCTGGAAAGAAGTTTGATGCATATCCTAAAAATCATCTGGTCCTTCAAGTGGAAGAGAGAGAGAGAGAGAGG